TAACACCTTTGTGTAAAAAATGTTTTTAGATTTAAAAAATGGAAAATTTTGTTTGATTAATATATATTCAAACTTTTATTTTTAAAAAGAGTGCTTCTTATTATTGAATTTTAAAAAACAATTAATTTGATTAAATGTATTTGAACTTTTGATTCTCAGAAAATTGTTTTTCATTATAGAATTTTTTAAATAATTATTGAATTGTTTCTCATATAAATAATGTTAATAGGTAAATATTAAGTTTTTTTCAAAGGAAACTAATAAATCCAAAAATAATAATGCAATTCCATTTTTGGTTTTTTAATTATTTTCAATAATTGTTTGATTAAATGTATTTGTAATGTTGATTCTCAAATAATTGTTTTTTACCATTGAATTTTTTAATATTTTGATTTGATTAAATGTATTTGATCTTTTGATTCTCAAAAACAATATCTTATTATTGAATTTTTTAATAACTTTATGTATTTGGACTTTTGATTCTCAAAAAATTGTTTCTAATTATGATTTTTTTTATAATTATTGAATTGTTTCTCATATAAATATTGAATTGTTTCTCATATAAATATTGTTAATTGGTAAATATTAATTTATTTTCAAAAGAATCAATCAAATCCAAAAATGATAATGCAATTCAATTTATGGTTTTTTAAGAAATTTCTAATAATGTTTGATTAAAACTATTTGAACTTTTTATTCTCAAAATATTGTTTCTAATTATCGAACTGTTTCTCATATAAATATTGTTAATTGGTAAATATTAATTTGTTTTCAAAAGAATCAATCAAATCCAAAAATAATAATGCAATTCTATTTTTGGTTTTTTTAAGAATTTTTAATAATGTTTGATTAAAACTATTTGAACTTTTTATTCTCAAAATATTGTTTCTTATATTGAATTTTTTAATAATTTTGATTTGATTAAATGCATATGAATTTTAGATTCTCAAAAAACTATTTCTTATTATTGATTTGCTATAATAATTATCGAATTGTTTCTCATATAAATATTGTCAATTCGTAAATATTAATTTTTTTAGAGAAATCAATCAAATTCAAAAATAATAATACAATTCCATTTTCGATTTTTAAATTATTTTTAATAATTGTATAACAAAATGTATATAAACTTTTAATTTTCAAAAAATTGTTTCTTATCACTGGATATTTCAATGAATCACAAAAAAAAATGTTTCTTATGATAGAATTTTGTTAATAATTTTGATTTGAATAGATGTATTTGAAATTTTGGTTCTAAAAAAAATTGTTTTTTTTATAATTATTGAATTTTTTCTCATATAAATATTTTAAATTTGTAAATACTAATTTTTTTCAAAGAAATCAATCAAATCTTAAAATGAAAATGCAATTCCATTTTTGTTTACTAATTTTAAATAATTGTTGGATTTAATGTATTTGAACTTTTGTTTGTAAAAAAAAATTTCAAAATGTTGAATTTTTTTAACAATTTTGATTTGATTAAATGTATTTGAACTTTTGATTCTCAAAAATTTGTTTCTTATTATTGAATTTATCTTAATAATTATTGAATTATTTCTAACTTAATTATTTCTAAATTGGTAAGTATAAATATTTTTCAAATAAATCAATCAAATCCAAAAATAATAATTCAATTCGATTTTTGTTTTTTTATAATAATTTTAAATAATTGTTTGATAAAATGTATTTGAAATTTTGTTTCCCAAAAAATGTTAAACATAAAACTTATTTATTTTACTAATTAAAAATGTATTTAAATAATTTTACAAATGTATATATTTTTTATTCATTTTTAATAATTGTTTGATTAAATGGATTTAATCTTTTTATTCTCAAAAGATTGTTTCTTATTATTGAATTTTTTAAGAATTTTGATTTGATTAAATGTATATGAACTTTTGATTCTCAAGAAATTGATTCTTATTATTGAATTTTTTTTAATAATTGTTGAATTGGTTCTCATATAAATATTGTCAATTGGTAAATATTAATATTTTTCAAAGGAATCAATCAAATGCATAAACAAAACTATAATTCATTTTTTAATTTTTTTATAAATGTTTAAATAAATGTATTTGAACTTTTAATTCTAAAACAATTTGTTTCTTAACAATGAATTTTTTTTTAAATTTTGATTAAATATATTTGAACTTTTGATTCTCAAAAAATTGTTTCTTATTATATAATTTTTTAATAATTTTTATTTGATTGAATGTATTTTAACTTTTGATTCTAAAATATTGTTTCTTATCATTGATTTTTTTTATAATTATCAAATTTTTCTCATATAAATATTTTAAATTAGTAAATATCAACTTTTTTTAAAGGAATCAATAAAATCCGAAAATAATAATACAATTCCATTTTTTAAATAATTGGTTTATCAAATGTAATTTAACTTTTGTTTGTCAAAAAAATAATTCTTATTATTGAATTTTTTAATAATTTTGATTTGATTAAATGTATTTGAACTTTTGATTCTCACATAAATATTTTTAATTGGTAAATATTAATTTTTTCAAAGGAATCAATCAAATCCAAAAATAATAATGTAATTCGATTTTTGTTTTTATAATAATATTAAATAATTTTTTGATTAAATGTATTTGAAATTTTGATTCTCAAAAGTTTGTTTCTTATTATTGATTTTTTTTAATAATTGTTGAATTGTTTCTCATATAAATATTTTTAATTGTGAAATATTGATATTTTCCAAAGGAGTCAATCAAATCCAAAACTAATAATGCAATTCAATTATTGTTTATTAATTATTTTTAATAATTGTTTGGTTAAATGTATTTTAACTTTTGATTCTCAATTTTTTTTCTTCGTATTATCGATTTTTAAAAAATAGTTTTATGTGATTAAATGTATTTGAACATTTGATTCTCCAAAAATTGTTTATTTTTATTGAACTTATTTAATAATTATAGAATTGTTTTTCATATAAATATCATTATTAGGTGAATACTAATTTTTTTCAAAGGAATCAATCAAATCCAAAAATAATAATGCAATTCCATTTTTGTTTTTCTATTTATTTTTAATAATTTTTTTATTAAATGTATTTGAAATTTGATTTTCAAAAACTTGTTTCTTCTTATTATTATTTTTAATAATTATTAGATTATTTCTCATATAAATATTGGTAATCGGTAAACATTAATTTTTCTTCAAAGGAAACATTCAAATCTAAAAATAATGATATTCAATTCTTGTTTTTTTATACAAATTTAGTTTTATTTTTTATTTTGTGTCAAGGAAGGTACATCTCCTTAATTAACAACTTACCTTTATCTGCACCAAAAAGTAAGTTGCAAAAACTTTATTGTGTCTTTTTAAAGGCTTGAAATTTTAGGCAAAGAGGTAAGAAGTGTAGGATATTGTCACACTATGGAGCATAATAGAAGAGTATGTCTTGTTTGTAACAAATCATTTTCTAATGGAAAAGCTTTAGGAGGCCACATGAAATCTCACTCATCCAGGTTGTCAATCCTTCCAAAACCTTCATCAACTCACAATCCTAGAAACAATCATATGCACAATCTTCGATCTCAGAAAAGGAATCCGACTCGAAAAAGATCAAAGCGCAATCGAAAAATAAAATGTGTGTCTGAAGAAAAAGATGAGAATACAAAATTTAACGTGGCTGAAGAAAAAGAAAAGAATGCACAACATAATGTCGGTGAAGAAAAAGAAGAGAATACACAATTTAAATTAGTGTATAATGATTTTGATATAGAAGCTGCAGAAACATTAGTTGTTATTTGTGTGAAAGAATGGCAACAAATTGAGAAGAGAAACTATGAAGAAAAGGAGATAATGTATGAAAATTAAAATGTTGTATTAGTGTGATATTTTTCATGAAGTGTTCCAATATTAAAATGTTGTATTAGTGTGATATTTTTCATGAAGTGTTCCAATATTATCAAGATCTTGTAGGATATAAAACAATCCATGAGAAAACTAGAAATTGATTTTTTTTTTCTTATAAGCTACAATTTCACTATATGAGGTGTATAAAAGAGTACACTAATCCTTACAATATCAAAATTCACAACTCCAACATTACATTATACTCCTACAAAACACTTATAAAAGATATATAAACTTTAACATAAAAAGTCTAGTGGAGTCTTAATCATAAAATTTACATTGGATTCTATCATTGTTGCATTGTAGCCACCTCCAAGAATTTATCATTGTTGGACTTTCAACTAGGGAGCATTGAACATAGTGGGACTTTTTCTAGAGCAACCTTTGTGAGAGACACACCACATACTCACCCAAAACCTTAAGGTGATAGGTGTGTGGGTTCTCTCATTTATAAATGCTCAAGTCACCACATTTCTATCCAATGTGGGACTATTATCCACACTACTCACACTTGTTAATACTTTAACTTTAACACTCTCCCTCAAGTGTGAGTCTATCCACAATGTCTCCCTTAAGCGGAAACTTCAACTGTGCAACTGCACCCTTGTACCGCCGTTGACACTCTTCAACGAGACACTCAACCCACAACCTGTGGGGATACTTTCGATACAAGTAATTCGTTCCCTTTATTCGAACCAAAGGCTCAAGATACCACTGTTGGACTTTCAACTAGGGAGCATTGAACATAGTGGGACTTTTTCTAGAGCAACCTTTGTGAGAGACACACCACATACTCACCCAAAACCTTAAGGTGATAGGTGTGTGGGTTCTCTCATTTATAAATGCTCAAGTCACCACATTTCTATCCAATGTGGGACTATTATCCACACTACTCACACTTGTTAATACTTTAACTTTAACAATCATCACCCTTAAGACAATGTCTTCTTGTCTTGCAATCATCTCCCTAAAGTTTACCTGATTGCGCACCCACCAAATTATCCAACATGCTATGATCCATATAAATCCCGCCGAAATCTTGGACGTTTTCCTCACCCATATCAATAATTTCTCTTCACCATATCAATAATTTCGTTGGTCAATAACACATCATCCATCATTCGTCACCCATATATAAAAGCAGTTTGATTAACATATATCAATTTATCCATTAACCTACTAAGCCTCCTAGCCATTAACTTCGATATAAGCTTATAGACACATGTTATTAGACTGATTGGCCTATAGTCTTTAAGTTTCATTGGTTGTTCCTTTTTAAGTATAAGTGTAATGAAAGATGATGCAGAAAATTTTGGCAAGGAAGCAAACTTGTGGAAATGGCTGACAATATTAACAATATCTCCTTCTACTATACTACAACACTGGTTCAGAAATTTGAAATTAAAACCATTTGGACCAGGGCTTTTGCTTCCATCAGTAGATGAGATGACCTCCCGGATTTCTTCAGCCAGAAATTGTTCAACCAACATGTTGTTATCCTTTGCAGATAAATTTTGAATGTCTGACAAATCAAGCTTCACTCCAGGACCTTTATGCTCCTTTAACTTTTCTTCGAAGAAATCTTTCATATGTATCTTCAAATCATATACCTCCTCAATTATGTCATTATCAGATCTCGATGCACCAATATAGTTTCTCCTATTTCGCATTTTCATCATAGAATGAAAATATGTAGTGTTAGCATCACCATCTCGCATCTAATTACTTCTTGATTTTTTCTTGATCATAGCTTCTTTCATGTTTAGATTGTTCCATAATGTATCAATTTCCTCACTCCTCCTTCTTAATTCATCCTCTTCTATCATCCCACCAATGACCTCCAAATTTGCCTCTATATCATTCAAACTTTTAACCCCTTCCTCAATATTCAAATCTATCCATCCAAATGTACTCTTGTTCCACCCTCTAAGCTGCTCCCTTAGATTTCTCAGCTTCTCAGCTAGAATAAAAGTTGGACTTCCCTCAACCTGTAAACCCTGCCACGAGGAAGCCACAAACTCTACGAATCTCGGATGATTGAACCAGCTATTGAACACTTTGAAAGGTTTTGGTCTCCAATTCTTTTCGGTATTCTAAATCCAGATGGGACAATGGTCTGAAATTGATATGAAGTAGTTGACATAAATGGAAATAGAGTTGATGTAGTAAATGAAGAAGTGCGTAAATGCACATATTATTGTAAAATGTTTGAAGCAAATAAAAAACTTGAGCCACATAATATAGAATACATACCCAATTCTTATATTTTTAATCCATAAAAATGGTTTTAATATGTATGAAGTTAAATGATTGAATTTACATGCTTTTTATTATTATCATGTAAGAGTTCTTATTTCCATGTTACTTATCGATGTTTTCTACCATTGATATTCATTCTTCTTGAGATCTTAGTTCTTAACCTAAATTTTGTGCAGTAAAATTTCCATGCAAAAATCAGTTGTACTCGCTAATTTTATATCAACTTATTAAACTTTTGGTCAATTAATGTTAGCAATCTCGGTTATTTATTTAAGAATGGATAACCAATATCTATGAATTCTTGATGCAGTTAAAGTTGGATATTCAAATTACTTAGATTCTAAGGAATATTTTATTATTATATAACTGAGTTATTGATTAGTATAGTTGAAATTAATTTTGAATCTTTCTCTATATGTATTAATGTTCACGTATATTCGTGCATGTGAATTATGTGATCAAGGGAGGTTAAAAAAAGAAAGATAATAAAAACATAGGGTTAGAGAATGGTGACTTTAATTTTTTTCTTAAATATATGTTAGTGCATTCTCGAGTTAAAACAAAACATTAGAATAATCACAAATGACATTAAATTTTATCCGTCATTATCCACCTCCCGACTTCATAAGACCATATGTGTTCAAATATTTTTATAAAACTATGATTGAGACTCTTTAAAGAGCAAATATTTATACATTTGCTTTTAAATTGAAAAAAAAAGGGAAAAGGAACAACTAAAGAGTAGTTATAACTAACTACTAGTTTAATTATTCAACTTACTGCTTGTTAGAGTTTGAATCATGGTTCATGATGAGGTTAGAAAGAGATGAAGATGATAGTGCAAGATTTTCTTCCCGGAGTTATGATTCACTTGAGTTGTTATAATCGTTGATTAAACTTTACATATGATTAAGAGTTCCTATTTATAATAGTAGGAATCTAAGTGATAATAGTTGGTTCATGGAGAAGTTAGTTACACACTCTGAACTAACTTTGTAAAAATACTAACTATCACTTAACTACTTAAACTAACTCATCTCTAACACTTCTCCAATACTCCCCCACAAACTCATGGTGGAGGGAGTGAAGACATATTGAATTTGGTCTGAAAATTAGAGAATAACTTAGTTGAGAGTGATTTAGTTAACACATCCACAATCTGAGCATGAGATAGGACATGTTAGATGAGTAGCTGCTTCGCCAGCACCTTCTCGCTGACAAAATAAATGTCAATCTCGATATATTTTGTTATTGCATGAAGTATGAGATTATGAGATAACATTACAACATGGAGATTGTCAAATAACAAGGTAGGAACTAAGTAAGGAATATGAAGTTTGACCATTAATGATTTTAACCATAATACTTCTGAAATCATATGTGATAATGACCGATACTATGCTTCAATGCTTGAACGTAAAACTGCTTGTTCCTTCGAGCTTCATGACACATGGTTAGGGAAAAAATGAACACATGAGCCTTAGGTGGAACAAAGATCATCCGGGTCACTGGCCCAATAAGAATAGATGTATGCACGTGGAGATAATTTGTGATATGAATTAGCTGGAGCAAGCATTAAATAATGAGTTATCGCGCCACTCAAGTAACACAAGATACATTTGACTGCACACCATTGAGTCTCCAAAGGATTGGCCATAAACTGACAAGGCTTATTGACACAAAACAAAATATTAAAACTAAAACCTTTTCTTAAATTAAAAAAAATTAAAACATTTGTTAGTATTCAAGTTGACCATTTTTCTTCAATAAAAATAAATTTTTTTTTATAATAAAATTAAAACAAATTTTCTTCATAAAAAAAAAAGAATTTGAAACATTTTTCTTTAATTAAAGTAAACAAATCTTTCTTAACAAAAACAAAAGATTAAAGTTCTTGAGTTAGTCGTTTCACTTTCGTCTAACCTCCGTTAATTCGTTTGTTTCAGCTTATTATTTTTTCATTTGCTCGTTTTGACATGGATATAATTTAGGCGAGGCCATGATCGCCAGTTATTTATTTTTTCATTCTTTTGGGAATTTGTAATTTACACGAGTGATTGTCGCGATGCTCCTGTTACCGTTTCTTTATCTTTCCGCACTTTAATTCCTGCCTTATAATAATTTGCCATTTTTGCATGATTTACCGTTTGACCCTTCCGAAGGATTAGGTCTAAAATGTTTGACCGCCGAGTCAATAGCCCTAACCCTTTGTACATTTCAAAACCCTAATAGTCTAGGCGTCCCGCCGTGGACGAAAACGCTCTTTACCCTAGTGTTAGGTCAAGGAATCGCCGTACTCTATTTTAGGGTTTCTCGCCGTGGAACATCTAATCAATCCTAATTTAACCCTAATTTCAATTAAAAATTTCAACGTAGAGATTGGAGTCTCCGAACTCCACGTAAGCGTGTCCTTAAGATACGTTTACTCCCCATTGAAACCTTGACCATAGTCAAGACGTTTCTAACCTCCCTTTCAAGGGGAACTACGATTACTCTGAATCCATTCCCTATCCAGGATACGTAGGCACAAGATGCAAATCTTGCCGAGTAAACTTAGGACTAACCCTTAGGTCTTTAGGTCACTCTATCCCTTAGCTAGATATACATCAAACAAATAATAAAAATAAAAAAGCATACTTTAAACAAAAGGTTCCTGTAGAGTACTACAGAAGTTTAGGGTGCTAGTACCTTCCCTAAATTTAACCAACCCCTTACCTAGGTCTCTCCCTGCATTGTGTTTACGATGCAAAACATAGGTTTTCCCTCTTTTGACCTTTTCCTTTGGATAAATCAAAGAGCGGTTGTGAATCAAAAATTGTAATTCAAACTAATTAATAGTTTGATATCCTATTTCCACCGCAACAGTAGTAAACTGGTTGTTGGTTGAATTAAGCATTGTCATGTTTGAATTTACAACAATGTTGTTGAACTGTTTTTGAGTTGAGTCTGTTCAAACTTGTGTTTGCTTGCAAAAGGTAATGAATTGATGTTTGCTTTGTGATAACCAAGTTTGTTGCTATTTCTGTTTAAAAACAAGACTGTGTTGATTTTGATTTTGTTGTGAAAAATGCTATTCATCATGATAAACCTGTTGGATGTTTAGACAAGTTTGAATTTTGTGAGGATGTTTGATTCTTGAAAAAAGCACTGCTGATAAGGCTCATCATGGTTGCTGTTGAAACCACATTTCTGTGGTTGGTTGTCAAGTTTCTGTTTTGAGGTTTACTAACCTCTAGTTTTGTCATTTTGATTTGACTTTTTGCAAGTCTATGTGTATGAGAGATTCATGGCTGTTGCGGTTAGAATATGATATCAAATTATTAATTAATTTGAATCGCATCTTTAGTTCACAACCGCTCTTTGATTTATCCGAAGGAAAAGGTCAAAAGAGGAAAACCTAATTTTGCATCGTAAAGACAATGCGGGGAGAGATCTAGGTAAGGGGTTGGTTAAGCTTAGGGAAGGTACTAGCACCCTAAACTTCTGTAGTACTCTACAGGAACCTTTTGTTTATTGTATGCTTTTTTTTTATATTTTATTATCTGTTTTAATATATATTGAGGTAAGGGATAGAGTGACCTAAAGACCTAAGGGTTAGTCCTAAGTTTACTCGGCAAGACGTCGCATCTTGTGCCTACATATCCTGACGGGAATGGAATCAGAGTAATTGTAGTTCCCCTCAAAAGGGAGGTTAGAAACGTCTTGACTGTGGTCAAGGTTTCAATGGGGAATAAACGTATCTTAAGGACACGCGTATGTGGAGTCTTTGAAACTTCTATTTCTACGTTGAATTTGTTAATTAAAAATTTAGGGTTGAAATTAGGGATTCCACGGCGGGAAACCCTAAAACAAAGTACGGCGACTCTTTGACCTAAAACTAGGGTAAAGGGTATTTTTGTCCACGGCGGGACGCCTAGGTTAATTAGGGTTTGAGACGGCTAAAACTAGGGTTATTGACTCGGCGGTCCAACAGCTAGACCTAATTCCTACTTTAAAGCCCAACTTAAAGAATTAGTCAAAACTAAATTAAAACAAACTTAAAACAACTTAAAACTCTATTTATTTACTAAATATAATAAAATATTTTCTAATATTTTTAATTTTTTGATTTTTTGATGTTTTTTTATGAATAATATGGAAAAAAGTGAAAAATAATATTTTTAAAAAAATAATTTAAATAAAATACGAAAATAATAATTAAATAATAAAAAAAAACTATTTTGTTATTTTTTTTTATAAAAATAGAAAAGTTAGAATAAAAATAAAAGAAAAACAAAAAGTGAAGAAGGTGGGATTTGAACTCTCGACCTCTCACACTCACAACTCCTTACACACGGTCTCTTGCCAATTGTGCCATTTTATTCATTCAAAATAAAGTGGCACTAGAAACTATGTAAAGGTAGGACAAATTTGGGGTGCAACAGATGCCCCTATTTAAATAGCTTCACCGGAGGATTTG